GAATATTTCTCTCAAGCACCGAATCTATCAGGTATTGACCCGGCGATTTGTGAGCAGAGTATTGGGCAGACGTACACTACATTGCAGTCAAATATTCCAGTCAGTGACCATGATCGTCCGCTACTCGACCACTTCATCCATAATGTCTTGCGCATCATCTTTCCGGTTCTAGAGGCGCATCAACGGGGCCACACACGGGCCCAGGCCATCCTGCAGGCGTTGGAAACCAATAAGTGCTACCTTCACTGCTGTCTCAGCGTTGCCGCCATACACCTCAAGACCACCGAAGGATTCGTCGGAGAGCAGATTGATCATGACATCATGCGCCACCGGTTCGAGGCTGTCTCTCAACTATGTCAGGCTCTCAGTGAGGACGTGAACCATGAAGAGATCCTGGATGCCACGCTTGCTATGATTTTCTTCCACTGTTCCGTCGGTCCCGCGGATGATTATCTTCCTGACATCCCTTGGTTCGACCACTTTCAAGCCGCGTCGAATCTGGTCAACAGGCTCGGTCTCCCGACGGCAGTCCCTGATGGAAACCCATACTTACTGCCTCCTTTCAGCATGACACTAACATCGTGGATCGATATCCTGGGTTCCACTATACATGGGAGGACACCCCAATTCGCCCACACCTATCGTGCTAAGCACCTTAGCGGCTCGTCATCAGGTCTGAGGGAGCTCATGGGCTGCGACGACCGTGTCATGTACCTCATCTCGGAGATCACCTGTCTGGACGCGTTGAAGACCGAAGGTCGCGTAGACGCAATGGCCGTGTGTTCGCATGTGTCCGCTCTCGGACGACAACTGGAGTTTACCGAACCGGTAGATCAAACCCTGGAGCACCCGTTCTCACCCGCTACAGGAGCCATTCGCCCGGAGGTTCTGACGAAGAACATGACGACGGTCTTCCGCATCGCGGCCAGGATCTATCTCTGCAGCCTAGTCCCCGGCTTTGACCGCAACCAGCCAAGTAACCTCAATCTGGTCGCAGCAGTCGCAAACACCTTGAACTATATTCCTTCCGGCCCCAATGGTTTCGACCGCTCCCTCGTCTGGCCCCTGTTGATCACGGGTGCATTCTCTGCGCCGACGAGCCATTTCCGAGCCGTGCTGGCCGAGCGCGCCTCTCTGCTAGGCGATCACGCCGACCTGGGCAGCTTCGGGCGCATGTATCGATTACTGCAGGAGGTCTGGCGACTTACCGACGACCCGACGGACGGCTACTACACCCCAGAGGAAACGTCATCATCTTCAGCATCGTCGGGCAGTCCCGTGCCCAAAATCGAGAGGTCCGCATCTCCGGAGAGCAACGGTACAGGGTCGGGCATGAGAGAGATCAAGAAACAACAGGTCCACTGGCGGGACGTGATGCAGCGGAATGGCTGGCACTATCTGCTGATCTGAATTGGAAGATGTGTGTTTCCTTGCGTTTCTTTTCCGTTCTCACACGAGATTGAGTCTCATGACGGCCGAGAATCCCTTGACGGGACTCGTGCCACTTGGCTACCAACTTGGAGATTCTGCGGACCACGCGCGACACGTCGACACACTACATCGACGTTTCCACTCGGGCAGCCGATCGTGCTCACGAATCCGACAAAATCCGAGTGCAACATCGGCGTTCCAGTCTGTTCGGCACGACAGAGTCTCCTATTCCACTCCTTCACGGTGCTGTCGAGTTATATCCTGCAGGACAGTGAGGACATGACAAGCACATTTTTCTGGCGAGGTTGGCAAAGGACTTGCGGGGTTAATTCTCAAGGCGCAAACTCATATGCAGTCATTTCCACTCACATGGACATGGTTGTGGAGTCATTGGTGTTGTTGATTTTTGCTTTGTGAATGATATCCGGTCGAGATATGATTCTGTTGTTTTTGATGCTTTGATTTATGATTGATTGATGTTATGTTTGTCTGCAATGTCACTATATCCCCGACCACGTCCCCTACTCAAAAGACTACTGCAATTTATGCCTCGTCTGACAGAGCGCTATCTATCAGATTGATTGGAATATGGTTGTCACATCAAAAGGTAGAGCATCTGTCCACCTCATAGAGTAACTTGATTATCTAGAACTCCTGGCGCTTGTTTATCCCAACGAACCAAGACAATCTAAATAACCGAGAAGCGGCCCGGAACTTCCCAGGCTAGAAGAACGAGGTCAATGGTAGGTAGGCTGGCTATTTCATCATGCTCAGCCGAGTTAATATTCAGAACTATTGCTTCCTCGCTAGCTTGCCTTGACGATTCCTTGTTTGAGACCAGGGCTCGTACAGAGTTGAAAATGAAGAACAGAAATCCCATTAAGGTTAAAACCAAAGAATCTTCTTATCCTGATTCCTATGTTGAGTATCCCAGCTCAGCTCACCTGTCGTCATCCAGACCGGTCCCTGCATCCTCTGTTGTATTCATTTTGGATATGATCCAGTCGAATGGAATCTATACCTTGGTCTTCGAGCGGGCGCGAATGTCTCAAATTGGCCTCCGTTATACACAGCACCGGTTTCTGGATTATACATGCTATCCAACCAGTCTGCAAATGCCCGGCAATGATCAAGGAAGGCAGGGTTGACAGATTCATATGATGCTTTAACCCATATGGGACAACGCCCTGATGCAAGGTTGCCAACATAGCGAGAGCTATGGAGCTCAATCAATCCATCAGAGGTGACTGTCACATAGAATTCTGCCACACAGCAAGGGCAACGACTGACATTACCTGAACTCATAGGTCGGAGGAAATGCCTTGCAACCGAATCAATTCTGTTGTGCGGACATATTGGAAGCCTTGCATAGCGACATAGACGATCAAAGCCAGCCGGCCCAAGATCTGAGAGTCTGCCAAGGTAGAACCGGGATACGATATGCATGGTGTTTAGATTCAACTCCACATGCTCTGAAAAGCAGCCGCCAGCAGGGATCATAATAGATGAGCCAACTTTCTTTTTGCAAGTCTCCATTCCACGCACTAGGTTCCGGAGCTGAACAAATGTCATTTCATGGCACATGCCAACCCAGATACTCCTGCGTCGATACCTGCAGATGCGGGTAACAGCAACAGAGCAGTTTACCCTTTGCTCTTCAATTGAGAACTTTAAATTGACAGGTTTCTGCACCTGCAGAGAGCAAAAACCTGATTTTCTGTGAGTCCTCATACACGCCCAGCAACAAAAAGACCTGGTGCCTTTTCCACAAAGCTTATCAAATTCCATCAGGCGGAGGATATGAAAACGTGCTTCAGTAAGCCACCAGCTATTGCAGGCTGTTGCATCCAACTTCTGTTGCACACGGGCAAAAGCTTGAACACCGGTTCTTCTTGCGTACCAGAAGCGAGCGCAGCTTATCATCAGACAGAAGGTCTCAGCGATAGGAAGATATTGACAGATGTGGCAGATCAACTCAACAGGGAGACAGTAGAGAGATGCTGGACTTTGCGCATTAAGGGTTCGTACTGTGTCCAGTTGTACTGAATTGGCAATTTCCATTAATGTTTTGAAGTGCTGTCTCTTGTAACCGATCAGAGGCATTGTGCAGGGTAAGCATAGTAACAAGCACAGGTTGAGAACTGGTCAACACAATGTGAGGTTGCGCTGACCTTAAGTACCTAAACCCATTCTATTCCATGGTCATCAGGTATATTACGAACTCTGAACGTAATACACCATGATCTGCTCAGTGTCTGATTACGTACGTATTAGGAGGTTTTTAAGTAGAAAGCATACTAGAAACATTTTCCCTAGGAAAACCTTAAAGGAGTGCTGAACATCTCAGGTTTCACAGAATCAGGGCGAGGATTCGAGGCCTTTTATGCGCAATCAGAGGATCCGGGAAACGACTATTGAATAAATGAGGCCTTAGGAACTACTTAGGTAGTCCAAACAACATTTAGATAGCCTCATGGAAACCCCCTTTCTTGGACAGTTATATGAGAATAACTATAGCATTTACTATGGGTGAGCTGAGGGCCTGAGGCATAAATGGCTACTGCTTACTCATCATCTGGATACTTTGACCTGCGCGCCAAGAAGCCTTCCGCAGCTTCCTATCTTCTTCTTACTGGCAACCGAGCGGTCCGAGCCCCTAGTATTCTACGAGCAATCAACCGACGGGTCCAACCATCGACATATTTATCAAATAAGATGATCGACTTTCCCGTCTTGAACACGAACCAAACAATGGCTAATTCTTCTTAGGTACATAAGTGGGGGTACATGTTTTCCAATCTCCCATCGTCGTGTTGAGTAGGTTGCATTGCCAGAGAGGCTCAATGCAGAAGAATCCCATTTCAATATGAAGGGAACGAAACATTTCGAAATATCGGACAGTGGCTTTGCTTGCGGAAACCGACTCGTCACCCGTGACTATGCAAGATAATCGACGTTTATTCAGATGTCGCAAGACATGCACGCCGAAGGTGTTGATAAGACCGTGGCTGAGGATCGGAGCATAAAATCCCGCGGAAGGCTCAGAAGGCTCAGAAGATTCAGACACGCTAGCGCGATGAGTATAGCCGGACACACCTTGACGGGGGTGCGCCTGTCAAGGGATCGCTTTTGATGCCAGTCCACAGCAAGCATGACGCAAACGTTGAGCGCCAAAGCTCTATAGCAAATCTGATTTTCTGGCACCTAGAGGTTTCCGACTTTTGGATGGTGGCAATGGGCTCGATTGATTTCTCTTCGGGTTTGTGATGGCATGGACGGTTGTTTTATTCTCCGAGTTGGAACAAAGGCTGATGATTCCTCACACAGCTTTGCAAGGGTAGAAACTGGCGGCAACTCGTTTCAGTTGATTCCGCAGTCCAGAAGGGAAATTCGAATGGCAGCTCAATAGAGCCACAGCAGAACGTCGTATGCTTCAGGGAGTCGAAGCTCGCATTCTCTATCTCGGTGACTGTTCTGTATCGAGAAAATCGGGTCCTTCGGTTGAGAAGCAATTCATGTGTGTTGTATGTGGCGGTTCCAATGATTGCTTTATCCATGAAGTTGATTCGATGCTTGTTGTTTGTGAGTTCATCTTGGTTTCCCTGTTCCCCCCCGAACAGGTACTCGTCACCAGCACTGCGCAGAAGTGTGAACTCGACGCTGGTGTGGGCCCCCCAGTCGAGGCACCGGTGCCCCCCCAAGGCACCGGTGGACTGGTCCCCCCCACCTCCTCTTCCTCCTCGACCCCGTCTAGGTTCTCCCCTCATCTTGCCCCCCTGCCCCCGACCCCCCTACCCCCGACCCTCCTGCCCCCGCTTCCCCCGACCCTCCTGCCCCCGCTTCCCCCGATCCCCCTGCCCCCGATCCCCCCGACCCCGACCCCGACCCCCCTGCCCCCGCCCCCTGCCCCGCCTCCACGTCCCTCACCCCCTCCCGGGCCGCTTCGAGGCTGGCCACGGTCTGGATGAACGACCAGGCCGCGCTGCTCAGTCGCGGCAGCATAGTCTTGTTCCCCTCCCGCTTCCAGGCCTCCCTTGCTGCCCTTCCTCCCCTAACCCCGAAGTGCAGGGCGACCAACCCCCCACCCACCAACCCGAGGACCAGCACGCCATTTTGGGCCCACTCCCAGGGCATTGTGTGGTTGTCGTAGTTGTGATGTGATGATTGTGATGATCTTGAAAATGGTGAAAATGGTGAAAATGGTGATGATGGTGATGTTAGAAAGGTTAGAAAACTTCAGAAACGGATGTTATTGACCTCTGGGGTAAAGAGTTATGGAAGGAGCAGTTTGGGGAAAGCTCAAATGTCACCATCCACACCTGCCTCCCTCAGCTGCAATGCTTGACACACATTAATAGGAGTGCGCTTGCCAGTAGGGCAAGCATGATGTAAATGTTGATATTGGTGCTAAGCAGGTGATTAACCAGGTTTACTGTTGCCTTCGGATCAAGACCTGTGTGATTTTCCTGGTCTGTCCAGCCGAGAGCCTCCCATTTGAAGGGCAGTGTGGTCAGTTATCCGATTCAATCCTGATAAGGCCCCAAGTGCTAGAAAGCACCAGTTCGTCTATTCCACTGAAGGTATTCTCAAATTGGTGAGAGCAGTTACGGAGACATTTGGCTCTCCCCCCACACCAAGGAAGGGCTGCCCTGAGCCTCGTTGCAGGAGACATCAAGTGCAGCGTAGAGGAGAGCAACAAGGCGCAATTGGCAAAACATCAAGGCTTGTTTGATAGGAAATGTTGTTGATACATTAAGAGCCGGACTAGATAAATAGGCAGATAGATAACCGCGTCGCATTAACCTAGGTTACTTGGGTGCACTCCCAAGCGGGCTAGCTTGGTCAGGGTCTCTACGTCTATCAAGTCCAAGATTCAGCGCAGGAGACTGTCTTCTTCAGCGCTCGGTCGTCCACCCATCTGTAAATTTAGTGGCTGCAGTGCGCGTAGACGGGACCATCAACTGTGACCCAACCATGTCGTTGCAACCTCGAGAACTCAATACTCAAGCGTCAACATCCAGTCTGAAGTATCAGTCGGGAGATGAAGAGGACCAGGATGCCAGAAGCAGGCTGTCGAATCGATGCGATTCTGCAAGAATTAGTGCGAAACCCTCATCAGTCCGCCAAGACGTAGCAGCGCAGAGGAACCGTCGAAGATCTGTCGCAAACTGGGGTCTTTTGCAGACTTCTCCATGGCAACGAGCGAAGCTGTCTGCAATTCTGCACGCTCTTGAGAATGAGGGGTTGTTGAAGAATCTCGGGAAGCGCCGGACGTACTTGCAGCCGCTTTATGCTCCTGCGTAGGGGTGGAACGACAAGGGTCGCAAGTCCCAGAGCAGACTGCTAGTCACGGAATCATCAGGGAGAAGACGATGGAAAAGAGGGATCCAACTCGGAGATTCAAGCCGGCCTGTCAGCTAAATGTGCGTTAAGCGACTTTGCTGATTCAAGGAGGGGCAATCTCCGTGGGCGAGCCGCCAGCAGACCCCGCGTGCGTTGACGCCGAGCGAACCAGGGATGGCAATAGGAGGGCAAATCCAAAGTGGCTTTTTGAGTAGAGTGAGTTAAGCGTCTCTAGGTCAGTAGTATGCTTATGTTCGCAGGGGGTCGACAGCGCGAGGAGGTTTTAGAGGGTTGATTCTCGTAGCGCGCGACAATGTGAAGGATTCGTTCAGCTGGGTAGGGTTGAACAACACATGCCCATGGCGTGAACATTACGACAAGAAGAATATATAAGAGCGGTAGGGTCGTATACTGGCCTCACGAAGATCGTTGTCTTCTAACTGTCCTCGAGAGGGTGCTTGAAGCTCGATTGCCAGCTCGTGAAAAGAACCCCTCTTCTTCGTCCTCATTCTCCTCATTGAAACGTTCACACCTTGGTCTGAAGACCCCTTCTCGGAAAGATCGCCACTGCCTCCTGCAAACAAGTGAGTGAGAGCTTTCCAAACCAAAGCGTCGTCTTCTGATTTGCAGGGGCGGTGTTGTGTTGTCCAGCAGTGCAGCCGCTCACTTCGGGCTGAGAGTGCTGGATTGGGTTTAGCGTGTGATAGCTGACAGGAAACTTTACAGAAGTTTGTATCTGTATCGTACTGTTACGGTTTCGCGCAAGAATACGACGTATCTTACAGGGCATTCGAGTGCCTAGGTTTCCAGGCTGCAGATAAATCTCACTCCACGTCCTTCGATCTCTGTCGTTGCGGGCAGTCAGGGATCAAAAGGAGTGCATTACCTTCCTCAGAGCTGCTCATATCTTGACTCCCTCTTCCACTTTTCTTTCCTTTTCCTATCAGACTTCTTGTAGCCATTGCTACCACAAAACCTCCCTGCGTTTTGTACCTTCCAGTCCTAAGCGCCGTCTACATCATCTTGTATACCTAGTGCCACGCACGATATCTCAACCGTCGGAGACTGGCATCTTCGGTCGACGGTGTTGACGACTGTTCTGAGAAGGCTACCATTCAGTTCGTTTCCTCTGGGTGAATTTCAGGATGCCTTCCGCAAAACCAGTTCTGCATCCGTTAAAGACACCCAAAATTACTACAAAGTTCCCTTCCGAGCTTCACAATGAATCCTCGTCGAGTCTATCGGATGGAGTGAAGCAAGAGGATGGCATTTCCACGCCCATCACGCCTCCGGCGGCTTATACAGAGTTCCTCAAAGCGTTCACGCCCGTATTCTCCAGCCCTACCAGCGCTGGAGTGAGCTTCCCAAAGTTCCCTTTCGACAGACCTGCCCACTCTCCGACATCACAGCCTACCAGTGCAGTCAGCGGCTCTTTCGTCTTCAATGACCCCGTCCGATCTGCTACCGCTTCACTTCCGCCGCCCACTCCCTTCACAGCACCGGCATCTCAGCCTAGAAAAGACCCAACGTCCTTGCGGCGCTTGCGGATACCGCAGACATGGAGGTATTCACCGACAACAGAGTCTCCTCAGAGTGCGACTACAATTCGCTCGCCTTTTTCTCCGTCAGATTGGAAGCTGCGCTATTTTGAGGCGCCGCGGAGTGCAAGCGGCCGAGTTAGTGTGAGACACGTTGTGACTCGAACGGTGACCTACAAGAGGACGCAGCTCGAGGCTCCACCTAAAGGCAAGCGAAGGAAGTGCCAAGAAGACAAGGAGGCTTAGTATATTTGTTATACACGGCTTCCGGTCAGTCGGTTTTATTTAGGATATGGTCGGGTCAATTAGCGCAGGGCTTGGTGTTGGGGAGTCTGGCGAAACAAATAGCATCCGAATTCGTACGCCGCAGATCCATCACGTTCATTTTTAGTTGACATGGTGTGGGCTTCATTTACTTTGCGTACATAGTAATTCAAGATACGTCAGTTATGCCTTGGGAGCTGAGCACAATCTTACGGCTTTATCCGTCATTTTCCTAGCCTGGGTACAATATTGTTCTACAGTCCTACAGGCAGTTCAACTCTACCCGGTGAAGTCTGATCCAATACCACGCCTGTTGGTTGTTGCCCAGCACAATGGGGTATTGACATACTTCAGTCCATACTAAGCTTCGCCCAATATGGCTTCTTGGTTACCAGTCTTTGGAAACTCTACGATCAACTGACCGTGCATGACTCAGCTCTCTTTTGGGAACGTTCCGATTCGCCGGATACATTGAAAGGCATCACAAAGAAGCCACTCCAACAACTATCTCATGCGGAAGCACTGGTGTCTACTGATCAAGCATTGAACTCTAGTTCAAATCCCGAAGCCGGTATTCAGATCGTGGCAGCTCAGTCCTACAAGAAAACGAATGGGCCACCAGCCTGATCCACAACAAGACCACAGCTCGGGTTATTTTGGCTCATTTTGGCTCAACAAATCCTATCGGATTCTCCCATTCTGCGCCATCGCATCCAAGTCGTTCCACGTGTCAGTCCAAGCGACAGCAATGTTGGTTTTGGGGAAGTCAATATGAACCAACAGCGTTAAGGCTCATTACTGGTCTTGGTAAGATGCCAAATCCCTCGGAGGGACGGGTCAAACTAAGACCAACAGCGCACGGAGCGTAGCGACCAACGTCCCAAGGGCATGGTAGCAGCGGTGATTGGATGTGCCAGTCGCAGCTGCTCTGGGTTGAGGCTGACGGCGCGAAGAGAAGATGGCGGTCAAACAGACGCGTTGCAATGCGGGAGATGCCTGAGTCAGGGTCTGTATGCCCAACAGGCTACATACAATCTCAATGGCGAGTCGAGGATCCTTTGACGCCCGCTACACTTAGATCGGATCCCCATGCCTGTCCTTGAGGTCGGTCGCAGCAATCAGGTTGGTAGCAAGACGCTCACTCTCCCCTTGGTGTACAGCATAGCAGCCCAAGGGATCAGTGCGGTCGACTAGTTGCGCCTGCTTGGTGTTGGAAGCGAAAAAGAGTTGCGATCAACCAGGTGGGCCGCTGGGCGTCGTTGCTGTTGACGTTGGAAATACAGTATGAATTGAGATGCTGTATTACCATACCGTTACAGACTTGATACATCAATTACCTATTTCATACGACACCCCAGTCGATCACATTGATTGACCTCGCGCCCCTTTTCATTTCAATAGTTGACGCTTGGAAACTAGACTAGTAGATGGTTTCATCCAGAGTGTCTTCTACGATCCTTGTCCGGGCCCGCAAGTAAGGATTAGTGCGCGTTTCGTTGTGGTGTGGTTTGTCTGGCAATATCACAACATCAAGCAGACTGTGACCACACCGACAATAAGCTATTGGCTCTCATTGGAAGACAAGACGCGCTGGAAGTTTCAACTCATAGTGACGAATGCAGGCTTGCCGTCTGGACATGCCAATTGAATCTGATCGTTGCCCCTCAGTCCATCTACACTGAGATGTCTTGACTTTGTAAGATAGTAGATGTGACAGTCCCGCAGGTTTGGTAAAGCCACCACACTAATCAGAAACCGAATAGGCCCGTATTTCTTAATACACAAACCCACCAACAAGTTCTACATCCATATTCCATACTCCAGTACAGTTTGAGTTTCGTAGCACACTTTCTCTGTCTCTTGCCTCATGCCCCTCATTCGACCTCCCATACCAGCTACTCCCATCTCTAATTCTTCCCTGTAACCCACCATGTTTTACATCACCAGATGTTTTATCACCCTGCATCAGTGGTAGCGACGAGCCAATCAGCGACCCGAGCGGTAT